AGAGCACTCACCTAGCACTTTCGAGGCACCAGGTTCGAGCCTCAGCACTACATAAAAATAAATTAATTAATTAAAGGTATTGTGTCAACTACGACTATAAAATTAAAAAATAAATAGAGGGGGCTGGGGATGTGGCTGAAGCGTAGCGCGTTTGTCTGGCATGCTTGCAGCCCAGGTTTGATCCTCAGCACCACATACAAAGATGTTGTGTCCGCCGAAAACTTAAAAATAAATATTAAAAATTCTCTCTCTCTCTCTCTCTCAAAATAAAATAAAATAAAAATAAATAGAGAACAATAAAGACTATTTCCTCAAGACAGAGAAAAAGAGCTTTGTGACTAAAGAATCGATGTTAAACACTGACTGAAGAGTAGGATATAAAGGTTTAGGAAAGGAATAAAAGGACCTGAAAAAGTTAGATAAGAGACTTTGGAATGGAAACTTTAAATCAAGAGCAGTAAACGGGAGAAATCTAATACTGATCAAATTATCCAAATATTGCATTGGTCCTAAATGTAGGATGGAGGAATAATTCAAGACATTTTTTAAAAAGGGGAAAAGTCAGGCAGACCAGGCTGTACATGCCTATAATCCCAGGGACTTAGGAGGGTGAGGATCAACAGCTTGAGGCCAACCTGTACAACCCTGCAAGATCCTGTCTCAAAAACTAATAAGGGCCTGAGGATGTAGCTCAGGGGTAGATAGCCCTTGGATTCAATGGGTTAATCCCCAGAACTATAAAAAAAGTTTGATATCTTTGAGATGGGGGTTAAAGGAAAAGAAAATTAAAGATGACATGACACCCAGGAATTACTGACTCCTGAACTCAATAGGCTCAGTATTAAAGCTAAACAGAAACAATTCAAAGCTTCAATTTTGCACTTTCAGCAATAAACTGCTGACAAGCAGGCTTTCACTAACATTTTTAACATTATTTACATGTCTCATCTGTATAAATGCATTATGTGTAAATGCATTAAAATTTTCAGCCACTTTTTAAACAACAGTACAAATGCAAATTAACCTTCTCATAAAATAAAATGCTGGGCTGAAAAGTAGTGGCTCAGTGGTAACGCGCTCACCTAGTATGTTCGAGGCCCTGGGTTCAATATTTAACACCACATAAAAATGCGTAAAATAAAGGAATTGTGTACAACTAACTAAAAAATAAATATTGAAAAAAAAATTAAATGCTAAAACCAGGCCTGGTAGCCCATGACAGTAAACCTAGCTACACAAGAGGACGGAAAATTGGAAGTCCTTAGCAACTTCAGGAGACCCTGTTTCAAAACAAAACAAAAGAGTTGGTTGGGGCTGAGTGTGGTGGCCTAAGAATGTCATCCCAGCACTCCAGGAGGCTGAGACAAAAGGACCCAAATTCAAAGACAGCATTAGCAATTTATCAAGGCCCTAAGCAACTTAGCCAGACCTTGTCCCTAAATAAAAAAGGGCTGGCTAAGTGCCCCTGGGTTCAACCCCTATATCCAAAAAAAAAAAAGAATTGGGGATGTAGCTCAGTGGAAAAGCACTTGTCAAGCATTTGTGAGGGCTATTGGTTCAATACTAAATACCACAAAAGAAAAAGTTGAACAATTCTTTTTTGTATGATTTGCATGGTCACCAATTTGACACTGGACTCAGATACTGATATTGCTGGCATATGGTTGCTCTGAACTACCTCACCAACCCTAAGCCATATCTTTTTCTTTTATTTTCAATACTAGGGATTGAAGCCAAAGCCTTGTACGAGCTAGGTACCACTCCACCCCTGAGTCATAGCTGCAGTCTTTTCATTTTAATGAGACAGGGTCTTGCTAAATTGCTCAATGGCCCAGCTAGGTTTAAGAGTGTGTCAACTACTTGGCTTGTATTTCAAGCAGTGTTTCACTAAGTTGCCTAGGCAAATTTACAATCATCCTGCCTCCACCTCAGGAGTAGCTGGGATTACAGCTATGTGTATTCCTTTCTTCCTTTGGTACTGGTGATTGAACTCAAGGATGTGGGAGACACATTCCCCAGGCGTTTTTTATTTTTTTTGAGACAGGATCTCACTAAATTGCCTAGGGCCTCTCTAAATTGCTCAGGCTGGCCTCAAACTTGTGATCCTTCTTCTCCAGTCTCCAATCACTGGGATTACAGGCATGCACTAGCATACCCAGCTATGTGTATTTATTTAATACAGTAAAATTGGCACTATTATTCAAGAAGTCTCAATATCTTGTTGAAATTAAAAAAAAAAAAACTCTAGCAGTGGCACATGCCTGAAATCCCAGCTACTTGGGAAGGTTGAGGTGAGTGTGGGAGACCCCAATCTCAACAAAAAGAAAGAAAATATCAAATATTCTGGAAGTAGTCCAAAATATGGCAACTAGAATCTAGATATTTTATTCAAAACAATATTATTATAGACTTTCACTAGTACCTATTTACAGGCTTTTTATAAGAAAGCTAGCATAGATACTTAATAATAATAAAGAAAATAACTTGCTTATTTACTGAAGTGATGATATAGCAGCAAAAATTTAGACTCTGAAAAATTGTGATTGATGATATTTCCAAGAATTTCCATAAATAATTTCATATACCACATATTTTATAGAATCTCCATTTACAAAATTCTATTTTTTATGTTGAGTCTTTATTGTCAAATCCGAAAAGAGAATACCTATATATTACTGAATGTCTCTAAAAAAAAAAAAGTTGTATAAACTTTGTTATCTCCTTTGTTCTATCCATCTTTAAATAAAAACAAAGGTCTATGACATACATTCAAATGATCACAACGTAAATGTAAATAGCTATAGACAATATAATTCTATAATAACAGCTATTTTTATTTGAATCCAAAACAAAACATGCAGCATAAGTCAGCTAAGGGCTGGAGATGGGCTATAGTCTTATGAGAGTTTGTCTATCATGTAGGAAGCCCTGGGTTTGCTTCCCAGCACCATTAAAAAGAAAAAAAGTCAGGGGCTGGGGCTCAGTGTAGTAGAACGCTTGCCTAGCATGTTTTAGGCACTGGATTTGATTCTCAGCACCACATATAAATAAATAAAATAAAGGTCCAAATAAAATAACACCAACTTTATTTAAAAAAAAAAGTAAGCTAAAACAGTATATTAAAGAATAAGAGCATAACACATGCTTCTGGACACACAGTAGTTGATACTGATTTCACCAAATCTAAGTCACTTCTTAGCCAGGCATGGCAGCACGTTTGTAAACCCAGTGGTTCAGGAAGTTGAGGCAGGAGATCACAAGTCTGAAGCAAGCCTGAGCAAGAGCAACTTGGTGAGACCCTCACCAAGTGAGGAGGGAGATCCTGTCTCCCCCCCCCAAAAAAAAGGGGGGGTTGTGAATGTAACTCCTTGGTAGAGCTCCCCTGAGTTCAACCCTGAAAGGGCGGGGGGCAGGGGGAAGAAATGATCCACAGCACTGCAAAACAAAACAAAACCTATAAAACTGTCCAAAATGCAAATCACTTTTTTCCCTAGTTGATCTATAAATTTTTAAAAGTCTTCACAAATAAACGACACATCACTTGCAAACACTTTACTATAACATGCATAACCTAACTCGGCTATAACAGGATTCCCCCCAACACCCACACACTCATTTACAGTACATGTGTTCAGCAGTCTGACCTGGCTGTGATACCGCAGTGGCTGTAAACTGAGTAGCCCATGGCGGATTCTTCTGTCCTCCAAACTGAGCCATGATGCAAGGGGTAAAAAAACCTTCACTTGTTTTTCTTCTATAGCAGCAATCTATTAAGAAAGGATCCACGTTTCAAAGTTCAACCAAACTACAAATATCACAATTATTTAAAAGAAATGTTTAAGTATCAAGGACATCTTCCTAAGTAGAAATAATAACTGCAAGTAGGAAAAGGGCAAATGAACAACACTTCAAATACAGCAAAAACATTTTACATCAACTGGATCACCAAAGTACCCTTATTTTAGGGACAGACTTAAAGGACACTTCTTTCTGTGATTATAAACCGTCACATTTAAACAGAAGACAATCTGCTGTATCCACCAGATTATTAACAAGAAGTTCACAACTCCATATTCACAGGATATCTAGCCTTCGTGTTTCTTTGGGCGCTGGAGTTGGAGATTGGGGCCAAAGTGTTGGTGAAATCAATAACGGAAAATTGGACGAGACCCCAAACAAAGGTACTTATCATCAAAATAACGAACATCTCTAATTTTTCTGGTATGGAATTAACTAGGACCTCCTTTGCCCTCGACTTCCTCTCCCTCGTGTGGAAAGGCAGTTGAGCTAACGGATGCCCCTCAAAGAACCAATGCGAAGACCCCACTCCCGCCAAAGACAAGTCAGAAAATGCTATCATCTCCGCCCGCACATCGCCCGGGCGCGGCGATTCTGACGGGCCAGGGCTCTGCCATCTTCCTCTGGCCCCAGCTCCTCGCGGGCCGCAGACGGCGGAAGGCGGAACCCACCGCCCCACAACACTGGGTTAAGCGCCAACACCGGGACGCTCAAGAGATCAGGCCTCCTTAAGTCCGGCGCACGACGGAGAAAGCCTCTATCCCCAAACCCACGCCACGGGGAGCCCCCCCACCCCCGCCCCGGGCTTCGAGGCTAAAGCCGCAGCAGCTCCGGAGAGGGGAACGGCGGACTGCAGCCGGTCGGACCAAGGCTGAGGGGCGCTGGGTACACCTGAGGGGCGACCGGGAAAGAGCGAGGTGGTGGGGGAGGGGCGGGCAGCACAGGGCCTGGTCCGACCGGCACAAAAGGGACCGCGTCCCTCCCGCCCCAGTCCCACAAGAGCCCCACGGTCGCCGGCCTGGGGCCTCCGCGCCACCAAAAACGAAGCCTCCCGGCCCTTCCGCTATAGGACAGATGTTAAGAACCCCGGGCGGCCGCCCACCGCGCTCCAATCAAGCGCTGACCAGACCTTCACCTGAGTCGGGTCCCGGCTAACACCGAAGCCATTTCAAAACCCGTCAGCCTTATGCGCATGCGCCAACCTCCCCCCTCTCGCTCCTCACCGCCTCCTTCCCAATTTCCCAGAGGAACCACGCTTACGGCTTGACGTCCTACGTACGCGCTCGCCGACTCGCCCCGCATAGGCTAGCCCTTTTGACTGCGCTGCTAGAACGAGAACGCGGTGAAGAAGGGTTACCTTGGCTCAGCTTAACAATGAGCGGGCTACGTCTATGCGCTATCTCTGAGGCAGAGGCTGACCAGAGCGGGTGGAAGGAAAGAATCCGCGGTCACGTGATCCGACGAGGGCCGACGCCATTTTATGATTTTTCTTTTTCCTTTTTTTTTTTTTTTTTTAAACAGTACATTTGGTTGGAGGAATGGGTATGTTCTGTGACGTCTCAACTTTTTTTTTCATTGAGGTAAATTTCACTTAACATACTGAATGGACTTTTTTCTTTGAGACAGGGTCTTCTATGTTGCTCAGGCTGATCCCAAACTGCTGGGCTTAAGCGGTCCTCCTGCCTCAGCCTCCAGAGTTGGGACCACAGACAGGTTCGCGCCACTGCGCCAAGATGGACTATTTTAAAGTGTACAATTTAATGGCCTTTAGTGCGTTCATAGGTTGTGCCACCATGACCACTGCTATTATTAAATCTTTTCATCACCCAAATAAGAAACCTACACCTATTAACCAGTCACTCCCTGTCGTGAGCTATGTCATTTACGTAGACAAAACACGTTTGGTGTCTTTCCACAGTGTCACAATTTAGTGAATAACAATAAATTCACAGGTTACACTGTTTTCATCAGTGTCAGTTCACTGAATACTTGTGGGTCACCTGATGGTCATAAGCCAAACAATCAGGTTTCTTTACTCCAATCTTTTAATTTAAAAAAAAATGTAGTTTTTGTATGGACAGAATGCCTTTTTTTCATTTTTTAATTTTTATGTGGTGCTAAATATGGAACCCAGTGCCTCACACATGCTAGGCAAGCGCTCTGTCACTGAGCTACAGCCCCCGGCCCCAAGTCTTAATTTTTAATAGCTAAAACACTCTAGTCACACACTTTACACTAGACTAAAAAAGGCTTAAAGCAGCTGCAGGTGTTCTGAGACTGAACTAAGAGCAAAGACAGAAAGCAGATAGTCACTGTAGGGGGTCAGAAGATTAAGGACCAGGACCAGCAGGTGGCATAGGCCTTTAATCCCAGCAGTTTAGAATGCTGAAACAGAAGAATCCCAAATTCAAGGCCAGCATCAACAATATAGCAAGGCCCTAAACAATTTAGCAAGATTTTCTTATTTTGGGGCTGGGGATGTGGCTCAAGCGGTAGCGCGCTCGCCTGGCATGCGTGCGGCCCGGGTTCGATTCTCAGCAACACATACCAACAAAGATGTTGTTGTGTCCGCCGAGAACTAAAAAATAAATATTAAAAATTCTCTCTCTCCTCTCTCTCTCTCTCTCCTCTCTCACTCTCTCTTTAAAAAAAAAAAAGATTTTCTTATTTTGCTGACCATTTTATTGTTTCATCTGTTAAATCTACTACCCCTAGTTGCCATCACTGCTACCATCAATTAAGGAAAATCTAAAATTGCCACACACTGTGTTAAGTACTCTAGACATAAGAATGGAACCAAATAATAGTTCTGCAAGCTGATTTTATAGCTGAACATAAAACATAAAAAGGGCTGGAGATGTTGCTCAGTGGTTAAGTGCCCCTGGGTTCAGTCCCTGGTAACAACATAAATAAATAAATAAATAAAATATTAAGGACCAGCTCACTGGATACAGTGTCACAAGCCTGTAATCCCAGTTGCTCAGGAGGCTGAGACTGGGTTAAAAGCCAGCCTGAGCAATGGCAAGACACTAAGAAACTCAGTGAGACCCTGTCTCTAAATAAAATACAAAATGGGGCTGAGGGCCTGGGGTTGTGGCTCAGATGTAGAGCGCTTACCTAGCAAGTGTGAGGCCCTGGGTTCCATCCTCAGCACCACAGAAAAATAAATAAATAAAATGAAGGTATTGTATTTAACTAAATATATATAGATAGATATAGAGATAGGGCTGTGGCTCAGTGCCTGAGTGCCCCTGGGTTCAATCTCTTGTACGAACCCCCCCCCAACCAAAAAAAATATTAAGGACTAGCTTAAAAATTTGTTCAGGGGCTGGGGATGTGGCTCTAGCTGTAGCACGCTCGCCTGGCTCGCCTGGCTCGCCTGGCATGCCTGCGGTCCGGCTTCGATCCTCAGCACCACATACAAACAAAGATGTTGTGTCCGCCGAAAACTAAAAAATAAATATTTTAAAAAAAAAAAAGAAGAATTTGTTCAGGGTGTAGAGCTGTCAAAGCATAGGACCAAGGTGTGGTCAGACCACAGTTTCAGAGTGTCAGCTTGGTGTGGGCCATGGGCAGGAGAAACCACACAGTGCTATAACCTGAGGACCAATATTCAGAAGATTGTGGTGTGGTGATCTTCCTGGGCAAGGCTCATGATATTGACCAGGTGAAGGAGTCAGGGTACTGAAATGACCAGTCTCAGGGTGCTACTCCTTTTATGGGGCCTCAGGTAGGAGGGCTGCTTCATACAGGGGTCTGATGTGTTCCATATGCTCATGGGCCTGGTTTTTCTGATATGAGTTTGATATGTCGTGTATTCATGTGCTGCTGATTAATTCAGTCAATTCAAAGGTGGTCATTTTTATTAGTAGGATTTATTTATTGGTTTGTACTTTATGCCTGTGCAAGGCAGATGGTGGTTGTTTGCTTGTACAAGCAAGATATGGAGTCATTCCACCTAAACACTTAGAAGTAGAGAAACTTATGGCAAACTACTGCTTTACAAAATGGAATAACTCAAATTTTGGCATAGTCTGAAAACTACTGGTCTATATACATCATAGATAACTTTGAGGAGAGCCCAGTTAAATCTATTTACCCTCTAACTCCAGTCATCAAAACTCTGATCACCACTAATCTTTTTCTCTTCAATGGCCCATCCTAGACATATAAGTAGAATATGCAATGTGTGGCCTTTTGTGTGTTTGGGTTCTTTGAATTAGTATATAATTTTCAAAGTTTGGCCATGTAGTAGCATTATCAATTTTTCTTTAAATCATAAATATTATTCGTTCTTGGGCTGGGGCTGTAGCTCAGTGGCAAAGCATCTGCCTTGCATGTGTGAGCGACTGGGTTCAATCCTCAGCGCCACATAAAAGTAAAGTTACTGTGTCCATCTACAACTAAAAAAATAATTTTAAAAATATTACTTGTTATTTTATATTTTATTTTTCCACATTTAAGCAGTGGTGTGTGTGTGTGTGTGTGTGAGAGAGAGAGAGAAAGAGAGAGAGTGTGTGTGTGTGTTGCTAATAATTAACACAGGCCTCACACAAGCTGGGCAAGCTATTTTTTTTTTAAGAGAGAATTTTTTAATATTTAATATTTGCCAAGGCCAATGTCTCGGCTTGGCACCAGAATCACGAGGCACTCACAGCTTTGTAGGTTCAAACAGCAATTCTTTATTCCAGCTCTCACACCACCTCCACACAGGTCCAGGGGCAAACGCGTTCTCCTGTCTCCCGCACAAACCACCTACTCCACGAGGCTCTCTCCAAATCCCATTTTTATCTCACGAGAACTCAATGGGAACAAGCAGCAGGAACACCCTAATCCCAGCAATAATCTTCAACTTCCAACTTCCTTAAAACCCATTATCTTAAACTGGCAACGCCTTAAACTCAAGGAGCCGGTTACTTCCTCAAACCTGATCAGCTCTAAACCCGGATCTGCCTTGGTCCTTGAGCAAGGTCACCTCATTAAAGCATGCATGCAATGTCCCATCAAATGTCCTCTAAGCAGCATGGGGTACGCTTGGCAAGGAAATTTCGATGCGTCATTCCTACTTGGTAATGGCCCTCAGCAAATATTTATTTTTTAGTTTTCGGCGGACACATCTTTGTTTGTATGTGGTGCTGAGGATCAAACCCGGGCCGCACGCATGCCAGGTAAGCGCGCTACTGCTTGAGCCACATCCCCAGCCTAAGCTGGGCAAGCTTTATCCACTGAGTTACAACCCCATCCTCCAGATTTAAGGAAACTATTTCCACTAGCTATGTATATTTTACAGTAATTTAGTAAAGTACGCCTCTGTGAGTCAAAGATGGAACAAACTTTTTGTCCCTACTTATCCCCTCTAGACTGCAGAAAATATTGAATATTCTTATTTTCGTGGCAATATAATAGTTTGCACAAATTTAATGAGAAGATGTTTTTGTAATAGGACACATATATTGCTTATATTTCCAAGCTTTTGACTCAAATATCATATTTTCAGATATTACCAGGCAACATTAAAGAACTAAGGTTGAGCCGGGCACAGTGATGCATGCCTGTAATCCCAACGGCTCGTAAAGCTGAGGCATGAGGATCCTGAGTTCAAACAAAGTCAGCCTCAGCAACTCAGTGAGACCCTATCTCTAAATACTCTCTAAATAAAAGACACAGTAGGGCTGGGGATATGGCTCAGTGGTTGAGTGCCCCTGAGTTCAATCCCTGGTACAAACAAAAAAATAACAAAAAACAAACAAACAAACAACAACAAAAAAAACAACTAAGGTTGATCATATGGAGCCAATAAAGCTTCCTGGAAGGATACTAGCCTGGTACCTCATACCTGGGACCGCATATGGTCCCTCTCTGGTTATTGTAGGGTAAGGAATGTCATTTAAGGAATGTCACTTAAGGAATGTTGTTTAAGATCCTTTGTGACTTATGATACTTTTTGCCTCTGGAGAAGGGAATAATTCACCCAACTTATAAATATTTCATGCAAAATCTGATGGCTAGTCTTTGACTTGACTTCCTAGTCTCTATGGGTGTTAAATGTGTAATCTGCTAGACATGGTAGTGCATAAATATAGTCCATACTACTCAGGAAGCTGAACCAGGAGGACTACTTGAGCCTAACCTGGCAAACATAGTGAAACCCTGTCAAAAACACAAAGGTACAATCTGAGGGGTTGGGGATAGCTCATTGATACATCCTATACTTAGCTCAAGATTCTGTCCTCAGCACAACGACCACCAAAAAAAAAAAAAAAAAAGTACAGTCTAATATTCTCTATCAAAAGTTTCTGCAAGCTGGCATACTGGCACATTCCTATAATCCCAATGGCTTGGGAGTTGGGAGGCTGAGGCAGGAGGATTGCAAGTTCAAAGCCAGCCTCAGCAACTTAGCAAGGTGCCAAGCAACTCAGTGAGACCCTGTCTCTACATAAAATATGCAAAAGGGCTGGAGATATGGCTCAGTGGTTAAGTCCCCTGAGTTCAATCTTCAGTACAAAAAAAAAAAAAAGTTTCTGCAAGGGCTGGGATTGTACTTCAGTGGCAGAACACAGAGTTTAAAGCTAGCATGTGTGAGGGACTGGGTTCTATCCTTAGCAGCACATAGAAATAAACTATCCTTAGCAACACATAGAAATAAACAAGGACTGGGGATATAGCTCAGTTGGTAGAGTGTTTGTCTCACATATACAAGGCCCTGGGTTCAATCTCCAGCACCACACCAAAAAATAATAGATAAATAAACGAATAAAATAAAGATATTCTAGCCGGGCGTGGTGGCACACACCTGTAATCCCAGTGGCTCAGGGGCAGGAGGATTTCGAATTCAAAGACACCCTCAGTAAAAGTGAGGAGCTAAAGCAACTCAGTTAGACCCTGTCTCTAAGTAAAATACAAAATAGGGCTGGGGATGTGGCCGAGTAGTTGGGTGCCCTGAGTTAAATGCCCAGTACCAATAA